TGGACAGTTTCTTTTGCTCTAAATTTTTGCTAACCCTTGTTTCCTGAATTTTAATTTTTACATTCCTCCAGGTTATCTTTTCCTAAAACTCATTCTCAGAGCCGGCAGATGGCATAGTGGTTAAGGACGCTGGACTCCCACATGGCTAATTGCGGTTTGAGTCCTGAACCTGGTGGTTTGTTTTCTCACTTACTCTCTCACTCTCTCGCTCTCCTGCTCTGTCCCTCTCTGGTCAAATTAAAAATAAATAAATAAAGTTAAATAAAATAATAAAAAAACCCCTTCATTCTCAACCATGGAAAATAGAAGAAATTTAGAGCAACTCTCACATACAATTGATCTCCTCCCAAGAAGACACTGTGAAGGTCAAATTGAAAAGGCAAGTGTTGAAAAACAAACCCATGTATGCTAACATGAGTCCCAGCAGAACAATTCTGGGACACAGCCACATAAAAAGGTGTGAGCAGATGTAAATCATAGCTAAAGTAACCTGCTATAAATTCAAGGCCAAACTCACTAGACTAAAACAGAGCTGTTCTGACTCCTTAGAACATACGCTCTGTTATTGCACTCTTGGAGCAGCCTCTTCCAAACACCAGGCTTCCAAAGAGAATTTGTAAGAAGCTGACTCTACAGCGCCAGATTAATCTCAGGACCCAGGCACAGCACTTACCTTCTGAAGGCCCTCCACAGTGGCAGGCAGGCTAATTAAGTCTGCAGCTGACTTAACATTGGCTTTGAGGTGGTTTACTGCAGAAGTCAACAGAGAAATCTACAAGAGTAACATCTCTGGTCAAATTAAAAATAAATAAATAAAGTTAAATAAAATAATAAAAAAACCCCTTCATTCTCAACCATGGAAAATAGAAGAAATTTAGAGCAACTCTCACATACAATTGATCTCCTCCCAAGAAGACACTGTGAAGGTCAAATTGAAAAGGCAAGTGTTGAAAAACAAACCCATGTATGCTAACATGAGTCCCAGCAGAACAATTCTGGGACACAGCCACATAAAAAGGTGTGAGCAGATGTAAATCATAGCTAAAGTAACCTGCTATAAATTCAAGGCCAAACTCACTAGACTAAAACAGAGCTGTTCTGACTCCTTAGAACATACGCTCTGTTATTGCACTCTTGGAGCAGCCTCTTCCAAACACCAGGCTTCCAAAGAGAATTTGTAAGAAGCTGACTCTACAGCGCCAGATTAATCTCAGGACCCAGGCACAGCACTTACCTTCTGAAGGCCCTCCACAGTGGCAGGCAGGCTAATTAAGTCTGCAGCTGACTTAACATTGGCTTTGAGGTGGTTTACTGCAGAAGTCAACAGAGAAATCTACAAGAGTAACAAAAAATGAAAACAGAGTTTGTAGAGTACACACTTCCTTTACAAACTCTGTGCTTGATGACATCAGAGTAGTCTTGGATTTTACATGTTTTCTGACTCTGTCAGCTCACAGGAATTGAGAAACATAGGACCTTAGATAGCTGTAAGAGCTGGGGAGCAGCAATGATAACCCTTCTTCCCCTGCCCAGTTAAACATTAATGCCAAAGACGGAAAGGCAAGTATTATTCTTTATTCTCGTCCTAGTAGCTACAAGATCCCCAAATCTTAAATTACTCAAAACATGCAGTGATTACCACACAATCCTTCAACAGTTGGACAGGAAGAAAGCTAATGATCAAGGACCACTCTGAGATTTCATTTTGGTGAAATATAACACCTCAGTTATTTACTGAACTTTTGTTCCTGCCCAAACAAGAATATATATTATAAAGTAAAAGCCCATACTACAAATAGTCTACAAGAGCTGTACCCCGACAACTTGAACAGTACTTTCAACTGCCTGGGGATGTGGTTTTGGTCTAATAATGTGATTAATATTTCAAACTCAATAGCTCAACCAAAGCAGTACTTTGTACCCTGAAGGGGCTCAATAAATACCCACTGACTTATGGACTGAAGCAACGAATCTATTAAAATAGGAATTGACTCAAAATAAAACGTGGCTTCCCTTTGCTATTTAGAGGTAGAATTCAAAATAGCTGGACCTGTCCCTTGAATGGGGAATGTGGGAACCTATATAACACTCAATTTCAGGCTGCAGAGATCATATTCTAAGTTTTGCAGTGCGACTTAACACACTCTTGCACGAGTCTTATTTCCAAATCGCCTTCCTCTTCCAAATTCTGGGATGAGAGCACAAACCTACTGATATCAGTTATATTCAGAGTGGCCTCACAGAGTGACTGGGCCCCTGCTATAGGCCAGGGGGATGTAAGAAGATTAGAACCGGATTCCCTATTCATCCCTCCAAAAAATGTCTGGCCTCTTCTCTGTGCAGGCGCTGCCATGGGCACTGTGGAGACAGTGGCACCCAAGACCAGGAGGCGCGGTTCTCATGGAGCTTACGTCCTATTAAGAAGTGACGGAAAAACAAAGGAGAAAGGAATGAGATACTAGCAAGTATGATGCAAAGAATCTGAATCCAGCTCCTGGAGTGAACAGTTTGGCATGGCAATGTCCAGTGAGAAGCCCAGGATCCCAGGTTCTCGTCTTCCTCTTTCCTATTAGGAGGGATGAGTTCAGAGGCTTAAAGTCATTTTCATTCACTCTTTAATGCAACAAATATTTATTCAGCCCCAATATATACCAGTGGTGAACAACACAGGTGTCAGGGATCTTGTTATGTCTGCATTTCAGTGCAGGGAGACAGATACTTTTATATAAGAAGACAACAAAAACAAAAACCAGATAGTGGAAAGCATTAGAAGAAAACTAAAAAGAAGGTGACTTGACAAGTGGGGAGCTACTTTAGATCAGATGGTCAGAGAAGGCCTTGGTAAGGAGATAAAACTAAAACTGGGGTTAAATAGTAAAAAAAAAAAAATGAAGCAAAGGTTGGATGAAATTCACTTTAGGGCCCAGGGAACTATTAGGGCAAAAGCCCCAGAACAGGAAAGAGCTTGGTCTATTTAAAAAACAGAAAGAAGGTCAGGTAGCCGTGTGTGTGTGTGTGTGTGTGTGTGTGTGTGTGTGTGTGTGAGAGAGAGAGAGAGAGAGAGAGAGAGTGCGCGCACATGTGTGTGCATGTAAAAGAGAAGTAGAAAATGAGATGAGAGACGCAGAGTCAGCACAGGCAGGGCTTTGTAAACCAGAACAAGGATCTGAGGTGTGATGGGAAGGGGTATGAGCAGGACAATTACCTGGCTGGACATACTCTGCAGGAAGGTGTTACTATAGCTGTTCTGTGGAAATGGGAGACCAGTAAGATTATGGGTGGTCTAGGCAAGAGATGATGGTGATTTAGGATGAATGGCAGAAGTAGAGATGAGATGATTTGCTGGGACTGGATGTGATGGGTGAGAAAGGGAAAGGAATGAAGAGAAACTCCTAGTGTTTGCACTTTGAGGAGCTTTCAATGTTGCTCAAGAGAGGGTGAGAGCGAGGGCACATGAAGAAAAAAATTAAGCCTTCGATGTGAGACTGAATACAATTCTGAGAAAAAGATATTAGTGCAAGCCAAAAAAGACAGGTTTCACTGAACCAGGACTCAAGTTGGACTCTGAATGAGTTTCCTATTTAAAAATGAAGCTGGCATCCTTTCTAGGTTAGAAGAGTGAGGGTATCATTGTGGAATAGATGGGGAACAACAGTATGAAATGGCTCAGGAGGACCTTTCCACAGCACTGTTCAAAGCGACACCTTATTTATGTGTATGATTATTTGTTTAAAGTGTCTCTCTTCCGTAAGACTGAGCTCCATGTGATCAAGGGCCATGCCTACTTTACTTTCCATCATATGCCTGGCATAAAAATAGGCATTCAGGAGCCAGGAGGTAGCATGGTGGTTAAGCCTCTGAACTCCCACATGGCTGACCACAGTTTGAGTACTGGACCTGGCAGCTTCAGAATCACACCACACCTGATGCATGCGTGCTTGTGTGTGTGTGCATGTGTGCCCAAATCCCAAGAAGAGAATGAAGGAGAAGGGATTGCGGCTTGGCCATCTGTCCTAGGGGGTGGTTTCTCATTTTTCTTCTGTCTCTCACTGGCAAGTGCACATGCCCTATAGAAAAAAAAACTAAAAATAATAAATAAAGAATAGGCATTCAGTAAGAATTACTGGTTGAATAAACGAGTTGCTGAGAATGAATGCTCTGTGTCTGAGACAGACATTGAGAAGGCTGGTCCAGGTAGAAAGCAGAGGCCAGGCCCTGCCAGGTAAGCAGTGAACTTACTTTTCACATCAATAAAATGCATAAGAAAACATCTTACAGGGATGTGCGAGAGTTTAAAAATATATCTACAAACTCTTTCACAGTCTTCCCTTCAAAAGCTGGAAACTAATTCCCTTCCCCTGAGTGTGGCCTTAAGTGACTTGCTTTTAGTGAATAAAGTGGAAGTGACAATTGGCAACTTTGCAAAGTAGGTCATAAAAGGAGCTGTGGCTTCCTCTTTGCTCTCTTCCATCACTTGCTCTGGGGAAGCTGGCTGCCATGTTGTGAGCACACTCAAGCAGACCTGGATTGGAGAAGCGCACGCTGGAACTGAGAGCACCCGCCAGCAGCCACGTAAGTGAGGATCCTGTAGCCCCAGTTGAGCTTTCAGTGATGAAGCCCTGGCTAACATCTTAGCTGCAACCTTGGAGAGCCCAGCCAGAACCACTCTGCTAAGCTATTCCCAAATTCCTGAACCACAGAAACTAAGGTAATCAACTTGCTGTTTCAAGTCACTCTGTTTTGGGATAATATGTAACCCAGCGACATGACTACTACAGGCTATGAGAATTAAATGAGATGCATACCTAAAGCTCTTAGCATAGTATCTATTACAAACAAAATATCTAATAAGTGAGAGTTATTGGTAGTGTAATTTAATAAGCACTTAAACAACTGATTCTTCAAAATACTACTTATTAATATTCTAACTCTACTTACTTTACAACAAAATAGGTAAGAAACCTCAGCCTAAATGGAGATTCTTTCAGCGAACTATAAACCTATGAGTAGCAATGACATCAAGAGATTTTCATCCATGCCTTAAAAGACATGAATAATTAGATTTGAAAAGGATACAAAAAAATAAACATTCTCATGCACTGTTCAGGACAGTGTACATCTGACAGGACCTGTTACAAGTTTACCTAGAAACAGCTGTCAAATGAAACCTTTAATTCAGGATGTCTAGAAATCTATCTAAAGATTACTTGCCCATGTGCATAAAGATGTATGTACAAGGATATTCACTTTTCCTGATTTGTAATAATTGCAATAACAAGAACAACCTAAATGTCTACCTCTCAGGATGTAGACCTACTTGGTGAACAAAGCAAACTAGAGAACACAACATATAAAATGACCTTATTTTCTTCTTCTCACACATACACATGTGCACACACACTAATCCATAAGCTAATTCATACTAAAGCTATTATGATTTTTTTTTTTTTTTTGGCCATACGGTGTGTGTGTGCTCGCCAGACAGAGAAAAAGAGAGAGAAAATGAGAAATCACCCTTCAGAGAAATGGCCATGCCACAATCCTTTCTCCTCCATTCTCCTCTTGGGATTCTGGGCACGCATGTACAATGCACCTGGCGTGATATTCAAGCTGCTAGGTCTGGGACTTGAACCACAGTTGGCCATGTGGAAGTCCAGTGCTTTAACTACCATGCCACCTGCTGGCCCCAAAGCTATTATGATTTTTGCAAATACAGAAAAATAGGACTGGAAGGATCCGTACTATTGGCAGTGGACATCTATAAGCACAGTGAACACAGCACAGTATGTGTGCGTCTGCTTGAGAAACGGAGAGAGGGAGGGAGGGAGCGAGAGGAAGAGAGGGAGAGGGAAGAAAAGGGAGGGAGGGGGAGAGAGAGTCATGGGGCATAAATGGAGATGGGAATTTAAGAGGAATTTTCATAGAGGTCCTATATACATTTGACTTTTTAAATATTATATAAGAATATATACAACTGTAAGAATACATACTACTGAGATTTTGAAAAAGACTAAAAAGAAATACATAAATAACAAAACATAGCAAATAACTTTGAAAGAAATTGACAGTTTTCCTTGGTGGGTGCTTTCTTCCATGCCCTCCCCTGGGTCTTCCAAGGCCATGCTGATGTGCCCAATTGGAAAGTGCTAGGAAGTGTTCTCTCCCCCAGGTATGTTTTACTGTGTCGCAAAGTATATTATCAGTGGCTCAAGACCAATTTGATGGGCAAAAATATTGTTATTTTAGAAGTCCACTCAATTATGTAGCTATCTTTTAGCTGCTCAAGGGAATGAGTGCCTTTCACTGCCAATTGGCTGGATCCTAAAGGCACAG